TGCAATTTCCCTCACGGGATCAATAAAGTATCTATCTATCTAGTGGCTGTGTCTAATCCTAACGGCGGTCAATAGGCATCATCACGGCATCCTCTGGCTCCCAGCCAACCAGAACTGCATGAAAGTGTGAATAGTTTATGAGGATGAGAGACAGTAGTGTACACAGCAATGAACTGCGGTGTGATCGTATACTGTATAAATATACTGTACATACAGTATGATACCATATGGTTTTAAAGCCACTACAGTACAGTATGTGTGAAATATTTTTACACATGGTGGTTAAACACTTGGCCGGTACGGATGGGAACTGGATGGAGCTGGATATATATCTAGTGCTCTGAAAAAGTAAGTACACCCGATGAAAGGTGTGTCTTTTTCAACATATTTGCATGCACTGTATGGATATTTGATCTTCATTTCAACAATAATGATAGATAAAGGTGATTTAATTGAACAAATAACAATGAAAACTATTCTTTGCAATCATTTATTCAACAAAAAAAAGTCAGAAATGCAATTGTCTGCTGTTGAAAAAAATAAGTACACAGCCTAGCTTCAGCAGCTGGTATTACCCTCTTTATCAGAAATAATTTCTTGTAGGCATTTCTTGTAATTGTCTACCACTCTCCTACATTGACTTGGATAAATTGTTGTCCACTCCTCCTTATAGAACTCCTTCAACTGTGTGATGTTTCACTTCAAGCCCCCCCACAGCATTTCTATGGGGTTAAGATCTGGGTTTTGACTTGGCCATTCTATAACCCTCCATTTCCTCTTTTTGAGCCATTCTTTTGTGGATTTGCTTGAGTGTTTTGGGTCATTGTCTTATTGCATGGTCTAATTACGGTCCAGCTTTAGCTTTTTGACAGATGGCCTCACATTCTCCTCAAGTACTGTCTGGTACAATGTGGAATTCCTGGTTGACTCTATGATGGCCAGGCCCTGAGGCAGAAAAGCAGCCCCAAACCATAATGCTTTCACCACCATGCTTTACAGTTGGTATGAGTTTCTTTTGTTCAAAGGCAGTTTTTGGTTTTCACCAGACATGACGCCTGACATTAGGGCCAAACAGCTCTACTTTTGTCTTATCCATCCAGAGCACATTGTTCCAATAATCCTGATCTTCACTTAGGTATTATCTGGCAAACTTCAGTCATACATCTATATTCTTTTTTGAAACCTCTCATGTAGGGCAAACTTGTGCAGTCTCTTCCAGATGGTTGCCTCATCCACTTTGACATTAACTGAGGCAAAACCTGCCTGTAAATCCCTTGATGTTATCCTGGGGTTCTTGGAAACTTCCTGCAGCATCTTTTGGTCAGCTCTTGGGCTGAATTTGGGCAGAAGACCTGGCTAGATAGATTGCCAGTGATTTGAAATTTTATCCACTTGTAGATGATCTTTTGGACAAAGGAGTGATTGACTACAAATTGCTTTGGAAATAGCTTTAAAACCCTTCCCAGACTCATAGGCATCAACTATCTTTCTTCTGAGGGCCTCAGAGAGCTCTTTTGATCTTGGCATAATGTAGCCACACACCACAATTGCTAAGACCAAACCAGACCACAGGTTTCTGATGTTTATAAAAGGCAGTGCCCTCTAAGTTACTCTCTAATGATTTTCTAATCATTTGCACCTGTTTTGGTGTACCTGATTTTAATTCTAGGCATCTGATGCAATGATAAAGGTAGGGGTGTACTAACTTTTTCAGCACAAAGAAATTGCATTTCGGTTGATTTAAATGAACAAATGAGTGCAAAATGGGATTTTTCAATGTTATTTTTTAAAATTAGATCACCTTTATCTATCAGTATTGTTAAAATGACGATCAAATATAATTTTGTCCAAAAATGTAAAAAAAAGACAATCCTTTTTATACTTACTTTTTCACACCACTGTATTTTTGCAATTTATTACTGAACAGCCACCTACTACTCTGCATTCTCTCCCACTCTTTTCTTGATCTCCCCCTGCCCTTGTCACATTCTCCCCATAAACCAATCCAGCAACCGAACCAGAGAACTCCACACAACTCAAAAACATTTCAAACTCAACTGAACGAAACTACAACAGGATCTAAGATAACATTAATATTCCCCATCGTGTGGTAATAAACCAGCACTGTACTGAGTAATGCTGTTTTTGTAATATTACTGTATACAACTTAAATTCTATAATTGGAAAAAGATTGACCTTCAGTATTGAACAGTATTGAAATTTTGATCCAGGTGTTTTCTAGCAACAGCCCAGATTCTTCCCATAAATGAGTATTTTTAAAATGTGTGCTAAAATCCAGCACCTGCACCAAAAAGTAATGCATTATCCCATGCGCATTCTGAATGGTTAGATCTGTACATGATGCCAGCTTGTTGTTTGCAAGTGACTGCTTGCTTCTGACTTATGTGTACCAGCCACCAGTGCTGGCAGTACTGGGAATTAGCACATGGGTGGTGGTTGAATTCTTTATTTAATCCTTAGTCTGAACAGTTAAAGGCAACCAATAATTGTGCATCACTTAAAATATTAGGCTTTACTAATTGAAATGTCGCTTTAGAATTATCTGATCTGATTTAATGTTAGGACATTTTACAGCCCTCTCACCTTGTACAGAAAAAAAGAAAAACTTTGACACACAAAACTAACTTTGAAATATTTTAAAAAGACTTATTATCATAACACAAAGAGCCCGCTCCCATACAAAAGTAAACATTTAGAGCAATAGTCTAATTGGTATTAGACTGCGGTCAGCTCAGAGTTCAATAAAACACCACAGCTTGTTGTTAAAGAAGTGATACATCCATCTAAGGTAAGTGGATACACCATTTACATAAGAGTAAACATAATAATCAGCCCCAGGGATTCTGCAATGACTTTAAGTCTACTTTTAATGCCTGTGGTGATAAGGTAAGTTTAAACAGAATATCAAAAGGGAACAGCCTCATAATTTCTACAGTTTTATCTGAACATGGTTTCATGATTTTGTGGATTAAATACAATCTTGGTTCCTGATGTTATATACTGTATAATTTTTATATTGACCTAAAATTCTGTCTTATTGTTATTATGATATACTATTAGGTGAACAAATACATATAGTGAAGTTAATAAAAATAGTGGAAAGTGGCCTTCTATAAAAAAATGTAAAAAATAAAATGTGATGTCAGTAAGTCGCATTACACTTGAGTGTAGGGTTATGAAAGTCAATATTACAGTGGATGACAATGACAAAGGGATTTCTTTAGAATGCATCTCTAATAATAATTAAAAATGGCATATAATTTGGCTCAGCATGGACAATGGAAAAAATAATTACAGGCTTCCTTAAAAGATACCTTTCAAATAAAGAGAAATGCGAGGGAACCAAAAGCTGAGGATAGATTAATTTTTACCTGGCCAGCAATGCATTAATAAAAGCATAAATAAAATACTTAAATGTAGTCACTGACTAGTGAAATGTTCTGATGACCACAATATCACTGTTATTTGAACCTAGAAAAATGTAGAACTGTACTGTACATGTAACCACGTCACAGTTGAATTCTTGATGTCTACCTGTGACAAAATGTATCTTTATTATTATAAAACCAAATAATGTGAATAAATCAGGAAATATGCACTTTGAATAAGAAAAAAATGTGCAATGAGCATCATGGCACCTGACACTGTTCTCCTGAGGCAGGACTGTCCACTCCTGATGAGGAGTGCTATAGTCTGGCAGGTTTTGTAAGCCTCTTTAAAGAACTTACACCTTAAAGCTGTTTACTGTAAGTATTCCAATCCCCCACTACATATTGACATTGGGCAGTTGAGAGCTTAGTTGATATGGAAACCAGTTATGGAATACTTCTGCTCTACAGGGCTCTGGCATGCCCATTATTCAACATCTTATGTGGTAATGCACTGCTGGGAATGCAATGAGCTACTGGAGTGGGTATAAAATACCACTTGTAACTATAACCTGTTCTGTTTGTCTTAAAGGAACCTGTTTCACTGAGCATTGTGAAACAGTTACCTATACTGTACATTTGAATTCCCCTTAGAGGTCATTACTGCACAAAGATGGGACCTTGTCACTCACAGTTGTGCAAATAATCCTCAAAACTCTCTGTGTTCTGTCCTATTATTGTGTAGGTGCTCACTAAAGCTAAACATGGATGTTGTTCTTGCTGCTGCACAGTGCCAGTGTACAGCAACTGTAGTTTATGTTCTTCGGGATTATTCTGCATAAACGGAGTCCAGTGTCTATCATCAGTTGTGGTTTGATACCCACCAGTTTCTGAAGATAAAGAGCACCCAATTAACTTCATTTCAGCCATCCGCAGTGTATTCATGTTTATCAGCTGTGTAACATGCTGGACATCTGCTGGCAACTGACAGATTCTTGGAATTATGTCTGTTGGACCACTAATGGAAATACACATATCTGAAAAACAAAGATTGTACACTATTGCACTCCGGTACTATATGAAAAGTCCTTAAAATATAGTAAAAATATGATAATTTAACATGTTTAAAAACTTTCACTTGCAAAGAGCTAAGAAAGAATATTAAAATCAAATTTACACTAAAAAGGAGAGGTGACAATTAGTTAGGGGATACAGCCTCTCCCCAAATTACCATTCAAAATGAAATATATCCAAGCCCACACAAAACAAGGTTCTTGATTAGAAATTAGAGATGGATGTATTTCTCACCACTAATCACTGCAATCTCCATAGAGTTGTAAATGCTAAGAAAAAGCTCACAGCAGATGCTGCTAACTGGTATCGCTGCCAGGATTAGCTGTGGGTTCATATCGGCTTAGATTGTTTGAGATGTATGCTGTCTGTCATATTTTAACAAATTATATATTTTTGTCTTTTTGTATAACTGTCAAATACAAAAAACGGTATTTTATCATACTCAGAATCATAAAATCTTTTTTAGACAGATCCAGCTATTCTTGGAATGGATACATCCTAAATCCATGACTCCTCCACGTGCAGTACATGAAACACTGTTCCATGTGCTGCGAGGACCACTGGAATTAATTCCTTGGCCACAGAATTTAAAATCATATTTTACACAGTTTAGGGCTTACATTTTTTGATGGTGGAATACTATAAAAAATTATATTTGAGAAATTACACAAAATAAGAATGTGAAGCTCAGAAGTTTTTAATCAAAACCCCCAAAATCAACTTCATCAAACATAAAGCTACATAAATTCTAGAAGTTAAGGAAAATGCTCAAAAGAGGTGACACAACATTAGTCAAGTTTCAGCGCTGAAAAGAACAAAGTAATCTTCAGAAGACTTCATTTATAGCGTTAAAAGTTTTTTTTTATTTTGTTTTACGTATTGCAGGGTTCCTAAGGTCATGGAAATCCTGGAAAAGTTATGGAAAATGAAATTTCATTTTCCAGACATGGAAAAGTTTTGAAAAATGATAAAATATCCATTAAGTTTTGGAAAAGTCATGGAATGTTTTTTAATTGACCCCAAATTATTATGGCTGTATTATGTAATTGTGTTCATAAGTTAGCAAACTTTTAAAAAGAGGCTACAGCGTTGTTGTTGCTAACATTACACCTTATAATGTAAAGTCAGACCCTCTCCCAGGAATTTTACAGTGAGCCATTAGTTAATCTAGCACCCATGTCAAAATGCCGGGTAAATGTGTTTTCAGTGACCCCTGGTTACCAGATGAAAAATGCAAGGTATAGCTCCAAAATGATGAAGACCCAGGACATGCTAGATGTAAATTATGCAGCAAAAGAAGTTTTGGAATTTTGTTGGTAAAAATGAGTGGGAACCCTGGTATTTTGTTAGAAGTTGTTTTATTACATACCTTCATCATCCAAAAGGCCTTGTGGCTGTAATTTCATTGTGAAGATCTTTCTCAGCCTACAGGTTGCTGAGATAATTATTCCGTCTAAAGACAGAAACGCAGCTCCTTTGAATATCTCACTGGTAAATGAAACAAGGTCGATACACACGTTACACCACTGTAAATGGTAAAAGAAATAAACAAATTAATTACAAATCATTTACAGGAGCAATTAAAATAATGTAGTTCACAAATGCCACTGAATAAGTCTTGTGGACACTTCTATTGACTCTGTCTAAATTTTGATGGAAACATTGTTGGCAATGAAAAAAATAAAGAAATGAGCAATGTATGAGCCCCTCCCCCATTTGTATATTTAAATAGTTGATATTCTCTTCATCCTTTCAGATTTTGGACATTGTTGTCATTAAAAAGAGTAATTAGACCTGATTTAGAAGAAAACTATGTTAAATCTATTATATCTGCTGTACATCTATACCAAGAAAACAATAGTCTATATATTTATATTTGTTTTAAGTGATGCCACAACATTTAATTAAACACAAATAATATTTAATTTTCTGTCACAGATGCACAGTGTAATCTAGGCAACTACTATCTTTAATATTTTGACTGGTGACATGTACAAGAAAACGTGACATACTGTATTTGGACCCAGTGAACTTTCTGATTTTTAAATCATAGCTAATGAAAGCCACAAATAGCCATCATTATTTTGTTCTGATTTTGCACTAGTGCTTATATTAATGTCAAAATCTTTCTAAAGTAAAACAAAATGTTTCATGCACTGGTTTGAGTATTTTAATGTAACTGTGCACTGTGTTCCATTTAAATACTAAGGAACAATCACCTCTGCAGCAATTTAATTTCTGAGAGAGCAATTATTTTAAATTACCCCATTTGGCAAAACAAAAACCCCAAAAATCTCAAAAAGGGTGCATAAGACTGAAACAGAGCATTAAGCTATATAATGAACCTGAGAATAACACTTTTACTTATGTGTCTAATGTAATTATATAGTTTTGTAATTTGTATGACAAAGTGTTAAAAACTGTAGGAAATACAATTTTTTTGGTTTGGCATTATTATGATTAATTAATCATTCATGACAGCCTATGATACTGTACACTTCAATGGTTGTAACTGTTGCAAAAGCACTAAATCATATCTTTAATGAAAGAGCTGTTTAGACATAGTTGATGTGGTTATTTAACCCATTGAATCTCAAGGCAGTTGAATATTAAGTAATATAAACAGAAATGAAGCAATATTTCCAGCTTTTCAAGAGAACAACATCTTTGTACCATCAGTATTTTGGATCAATGCTTCAGATACACTCTCCAGCAATAGAGCCTCTTTAAGAATAAATCAAAGTTTTGACTGAAGTCAGAAAGGTGGGTGCAGATGTGCAGAACAATAGGCTAATTGTGTACAACAAATTGATCGCCAAACTGACTGCACAACACAGTTCTCTGACATCGCTTGCTGCACCTCCCATGAACTCATCCTGACAAGATCATATTTCAGCATGTCAGCACATGTCCTTATGTTGCTTATGTAACAAACCTCTTGTGAGATAAGAATGTACTGTACTGTATGTGTAATCCACAGTTATTTTAACTTGAACCACACTGAATATTTGTGAAATGATCTGGTATAACATTTAACGTTTAGGATTTAGAGACCAGTGAAGAGGCATAAGCTTCCCCAGGCTCTGGTTCCAAGTTCCATTAGATGACATCTGCAACCTGGTGCATTTCTCACAAATGAACAGTTTGCATTGCTTCCAACATGCTACTAGTGTGTAACTTTCAGTTAAACACCTGTTGATCCACCCTGCTGTATTACAAAATGTTGTAATAAAAAAGAAATTACATTACCTGATAGAGAAAACAACTGATGCAAATTGTTGGTGTAAAGGCCAGGTGACATGACACAATCTTTAGGACCTTCTAATCATCAGTATACCAGATTTACAAATATACATCAAGGTAGCTGAATTTCATTTATCTAATCTCTAGGGTTCAAGTTATGTGCTTTTCTTACCTTTCAGTGCAGAACACCTTACACCACTCACATTTTTAAATAATATTAGATCTATTAAATATCTGAGTGTTGTTTTTCATCTTATAAGAACAGAAAAACAGAAACCAAACAGGCAATTCAGATAAATTCTTCTTTTAGCCTGTTTGATAGTTTATATCTAATTAAGGTGGGTAGCTGCGTCAGCATGCGTAGGCTGCAAAGGAACAAGTAATAGGTTTATTCCATGCTGAAAAAAAGAAGAAAGAGAACACAACGTTTCGGCCGTGGAGCCTGAAGAAGGAACGTTGTGTTCTCTTTCTTTTTTTCAGCATGGAATAAACCTATTACTTATATCTAATTAATGCAAACATCTCATCTAGCCTTTTCCTGAAAAAAGCCAAGGTATTGGCATCACAATGGCTATATATCTTCTTCCATACTCCCATAACTTGTTGTGTAAAGCCTCTTGTTAACAGTTATAAATGCATTTTCACATAGTTTCCATTTGTGCCATCCAGTTCATGTTTCACTGCTCATTCTAAAGACGTGTTCTGGGCTTGCTTTATCAGTGACCTTCAAAATTGTGAATAATAGTATCCAGTTACCTTGTAATATTTCATGACTAAACACATTCCGTTCCTTCAAGTTCAAGTTTAACCTTTATTGCCATTTGCACGAACAGTGCATTGGAAATCTTACACGGTTTCTCTCAGTCAGAAAACATAAAAACAAAAAGGGTAAACACACAGACTATGTGCAGGACACTATATACACAAACCTTAAAAAGACTATACACAAGCTGTACACACTATTACGCCAAAAATAAATCATATTAAAAGAATGGCTCCTAAGTTATACATGATAAAAGACACTGTGCATACGGAGCTGAGGAAGATATGGGCCTCCAATATGTTATGCTAGTCTGCATGTCCTTGGCAATCAGGTTCACTGTCCTTGGGAAGAAACTGGTCATAAACCTGTTCCCTCGGGTCTTAATGCTCTCTGACCTATGACACCGAAGGTTTTGCTTAGTGTCTCGCCAGGTAAACAGACTTTGGCTAGGGTGGGGTAGGTGTTTGAGGATAGCTTGAGCCTGGCTCCTGCAGCGGGCTGTATCGAGATCCTCCAACGAAGGGAGTTCTGTTCCAATAATGTGTTCAGCTGTTCTAATCACTCTCTGGAGGATGAATTTGTCCTTCTAGTTAGCACTGCTGAACTACAATTTAATACCTCCAGTCAAAATGCTCTCAATGGCACCATGGTAGAAACTAACCAGTGCTTTTTTGTGGATGGCACTCCTTTGTAAGCACCTCAGAAAGTACAGATGCTGCTGGGCTTTTTTCACAATTGCACTAGTTTGCTCTGCCCAGCTCAGCGGATTGGCAATATGTAGGCCAAGAAACTTGATGGAGTTGACTTGTTCAATTTCAGTACCATCAAAGTAAACTGATTGGTGGGGATTGATGTTTTGCCTGAAATCCAAGATAAATTATTTTGTCTTAGAAGCATTAAGAACAAGGTCATTATCCTTACCATAATTGGTCATGTCTCTAATTAGCTACCTGTAAGTAGTTAACTTACAAGTATCATGTTGAATAAGGCCAAGCACTGTTGTATCATCCACAAATTTGTATATTATGTTAATGTCATAGGTGGAATTACAGTCGTGTGTGTATAATGAAAAACGTTTTGGGCTTAGGCAACAGATCTGGGGTGCTCATGTGCTTAAGGTAATTGGGGAAGAGGTATTTCCACCTATTTTCACTATTTGTGGTCTGTTTGTCAAAAAGTCCAGTATCCAATTGCATAGAATATTCGGCAGGACAAGCCCAGTGAGTTCCAAAACAAGCTTGGTGGGCCTTTTGGTGTTAAAAGCTGAGCTACACTATAGTCTAAAAACAATGTTAGATATAGTTAATGAGTACTTTTGAGTAAAGATGGAGTAAGAAAAAAAGAAGCAAGAGAATCATTGGATAAATGCACTCATAATATATAATTTGAAGTAAATTTCGAAACTGTATAGCCCAAAGTAAGTGTTCTCAATTTTAGAAAGAAGAATTTAAAGGAACTAGATAGTACTTAAGAGAAGTAGAATGGAAAAATATGAAATCAGTCAAAATTGATGGCACATTTAAACAGATTGTGCTTGAAGTACAGAACAGGTTTACCCTAACAGTTAATCTAAAGCTAAAAAAACTATCCTGACTAGTTCAATTAGAAAACTTAGAAAGGAAAAGCTCTTCATAAAACAACTAAAAAATAACAGTATTGAGTTAAAAAAGGAGTCCAAGTGTCAAGAAAAACTGAAATGTACTATACTGGGGCATTAGGACCCACATGGACCTACATGGGGTGAGCACCCCCTGCTGGCCCCACTAACACCTCTTCCAGCGGCAACCTTAGTTTTCCCCAGGAGGTCTCCCATCCAGGTACTGACCAGGCTCACACCTGCTTAGCAGCAGTGGGTTACCAGTTGTGAGTTGCAGGGTGATATGGCTGCTAGCTGAGTTAAAAGATAATAAAAAGATCTGTCAGCGTAACAACAGCAAAATAAACATTAAAGATGAAGTTAAGTATCCATTGGATCATAATGGGAAACTTCTAAACAGTTAAAATTAAATGGCTGATGTACAAGCATTTTATTCAGGTGTTCACTAAGGAAGAAGTCTAAATATGCCTTAGGCAACTAAAGGACAAAGTTCAGTATTAAGTATTATTAGCACAGTAGAAAGGAATTGTTTTGGGAATTAGAAGCACTAAAGATGAATTAACCTAATGTGCCTGAAGGCTTCTTACAAATTGTACTCAAGGAAACAAGAGATGTTATGTACAGATGCAGCCACCTGCAGTAGGTATACCGTGGCAGTGCAAAACATCCTCACTTTTTTTTTTTAATAATCAATTGCAGGATCTGGTGCAATAATCTGCACTACTTTATAAAAGTCACAGGTGGCACAGTGAATCCTTAAAGTAGCACAGCTGCATGGTTAAACAAATTGGTACATGTTTATTAAACCATTAGTGCTTTCCTGTGTTAATCATATTGTATGAATGCTAGTGACAATTTAATTAAATACAATATTTAAATTGTTGAGATAGGATGTGTTACCACACTTCTACCAAAACTCCAAA